TTTTTTTTTTTTTTTTTTTGATTGATATTTTTTAAACCTGGACGTCCTTCAAAACAATTACGAAGGTTGATCGGTGTGGGCTGATTTTCAATTTACAACGACTTAGCTTGGTCTCCTACAATTAAAAAAAAAAACCTAAGAATTGCTTAGGCACTTTTAGAGGCATTTTTTAGACTCACATTCTTAGATTATTTGCAAAAAATAGTTTCAAAATTTTTGAAAATTTGTGCGACACCATTAATCATTGCGGTCTGCTGTTGCCAGTATACCAGGTTCCCTATTGATTTTGAAGTAAAAGTTAGTTGGAACGTTTCTCCAACTCCTGAAATTGATATTGTTCATTTTGATTTTAGAAGAAGTTGTGCCTGACATTGAGCAGTTTTTTCTCAGTTTTATTCTTTACGTGGCTTTAATGTTCGACTTTTTGTGCTGGAAGGTGGATTTTTTAAACTCTGTCGTAGCGAAAGTAATTTATTCATATTACTTCTTATTTTGTATGCTTTTTGTTTTGTTCTCACCATATTTGCGCCTAGCATAAGAATTTGTTTAAACGGCCATTTCTTTAACTGAAAATTTGAGCAGTTAAAGGTGTACCCCGGTTTTCAAACTGTTTCTCATAATATTTTTTTGCATATTTATTATCACTGTTTCCACCGTAAATTCAATGATTCTCATCTGTCCCTCGACGATTGGCACTTAGGAAAGGTGACAAAAAATATGAAGTAACAAGCAACGATTTTGACCGTGGGTACTAACGCACGAACGTCCCGGCCATTTTTTTTCTTTGTCGAATCGCACTGCACAAATGATTCAATGAACTTTTGGGAAATAAGACATTCGTTTTTTTGTTACAACTAAAATAGATTTTTCCCTGGTATTATTTTGTTCTTTGTTTCAGAACCAATTGCTTGCGCTTTGTACGGTTTGTTCCAGCGACTCTTTCTTCCTATGTAAATTTCTTGCTTGCTAGTTTTCATAAAAATGGTCAGAAAATGTTCCTTGTTTTAAAAAGTTCTTTATATTTGATGTTTCACTTCCAGTAACATGTGTTTTTGTGCTACTATGGCAAAACATTGCCAACGGCGAGCGTTGCTGGATGCAACAAAATTTTAAAACGATTAAGATTTAGTGCTGGTGTGCAGTTTCACTAGGCAACTGTCTAATATGACAGAATTTTGAAGAAATGATGTGGTGGTTCTGTTGTAGTTATGCGGCCATTAACTTTGCCTGTTACTGTCGTTAGCGCGGTGAGGACAGATTATTTTTTTAAATCAGTATTTCTTCTTTACCTCACCGAGTTTTTAAAGCAATATTCACTTGTTTTAACTATATTTCTTGGTATGTTTTGGTCATACATGTTGTTATTCAAACATTTTAACATGTATGAAGACGGCTTACTTATTTGTACGGAACTCGTAGAAGTGAATGTAGCGTTCAAATTTTTTTTTTTTTCAATTTTCATCTTTTTATACGTTAGAGGTGAGTTTACATAGGAGAGGACATCTTTTAGATGGACAATGTTGCATCTAGAGGAGGCAGTGCAAAGAGGGGTGTGGCTTCGATTGTATTACATGCTCCTTGCAACACTTCTCCGGTTGTCGTTTTCTTCGTTTGTTTGCTCTTCTCCTAGTCTCTTCATTGCCTCGTTTCTTTAATGTTCTGGTGATCTCTTCTCGTCTTGCGTAGTTTTCCATTGGAGCATTACCCTTAGAAAGCAAGCTGATAGTTTGGGAAGGTTAGGTAGTCTTCAGAATCGGAAGCTAATGCAATGTTTATATGATGTTTACGTACATTTGTTATAATAGCGTTAGTAATGATGACATTTCGCCTGCCGTCCCAGTCAT